AGATCAAGTGGTTAACGTTTTTTATGTAGCCATTTATCGTATTTATTTCATATTGACTTTTTACAATTGTTTCAAAATATAATAATTTTTTAAAATAAATAATTAATGTTTTTGCATGTGAAATTATGCAATAAGTCCGAATACAAAAAAACAACTGAGAATTTTTTTTATATATTTTTAAATTTTTGTAGAATAATAATAATATTATACAATTATAATTATAATTATTATAAGAATCTTGATTGTTTGATTTGCCGTTTGTATGATTCCAGTTTTGTATCACGAACAATAAACCAAGTATTCACCAAGCATTTATCTGATATCTTTTCCTTTGAAGCATTTCTCAATGATCGCAGTGTCTTGATGAAAGCGTTCATTACTGAATTCATCCAAATTTGGTGGAAAAAAATCCAAATGATTATGAAGAAAGTGTATTTTGAGCGACATGTTAAGCCAAAATCATTTCAGCAATTTTTTTGTAATTGTCGGCTTTTTTATTGCCTAGAAAATTTTCGATGACGGCTACCAAACCATTCCATGCTCGTTTTTCCATTGTATTCAACAATTTACGGAAGTTTTCATTTTTTAAATACCTGAATAAGACCATTAACTGAATAAGAATTTAAAATAATCAAATAAATGCTTTCCTAATGTCTTCTTTCAGAATCTCTTTGAATTTTTCATGGGAGAAAACTTGTGCTGTACAATATTATAAAAAGACATTTGATGATACTTAAAAAACGTTAACGACTTGATCTAAAATGCCGAGACATGAGTATTTTTTTTTACATTTACTTTCAGAATCTCTTTTGAATTTTTCATAGGAGAAAAAAAATTCAATTTTTGTCGTACTGTGTAATATTTCGATAATTATCGATAAACATGATAAATAACATGAAAGTGAATTATCTGTTTGTTATTTAAAATTTTTTTTGATAAAAAATATGATAAAGTTTCCTTAATAATCACTGTAATGATTACTCATTTATTTACTTACTTGTGAGAATCGACGCGATGAGTAATCGATATGATAAGAAGGCGCGATAAATTCTGATTGGAAATCTTGAAATACATCATTACGAGCGACTTCGTGAAAGTATCGTGAGAATTTATTGCAGGATACAAATGGGTCAGATGGTCCTCCTATGCCGATCGTAACATGATGATCTCCATCGGCAGGGACCTGGACGGTATGAATCTCGTCGTAGGTCGTGCCATGCACCAGGGTGATATGCTGCCGGCGAAAGTGAAGCCGGATCATGGAGTTGCTTACGTTTGCCACGGAGGTGCCGAGCACATGAAACATGACTTTGAGGTATAATAGATCGCGAGAAACGAGAGATTCGATTCTCTTCGTTATTTCACACATTGACATCGAGCTGGAATTTCAAACGAAATTATCTCTCTTCCAATTACGTGAAATGAAGTTCCAATTACACGCCATTGCCATTCGAATACCATCAATCGTGCGTCAATTATTTTCATTTAGTTATCTTATACGACATCATAATTTTAATCAATCTGTAATTACGTAACAACTGCATGAACTACATTTTTATGTGTTTTTTTCCCTCCGCATCGACAGTTACTAGTTTCATAACGCTATCGTTTCTTCTTTCATTAATAAGCGAATTAAAGAGTTTGTGTAAAACTTTACGTAACGTAGCGCACGAACGCGTTTTATCTCTATATCCCTGGCGCATCTCATTTCGATAGCAAAGATAAGATTACGACTGTGTGATCGAGCGAAGTGTGTTAGTCATGGATATTTGCACGGCGATATTCTAGAAACGATCGAGCGCGTTTTATTGCCCCGACAAATCTTCTTCCAGTTTCCCTCCATTTTCGCAATTATTTCCTTCCTTGATGAAGTCATAGCAAATCCGAGACACCTCCTATACGAATGGAACGACGTATAATTTAATTTATTATCTCGCCAACATTAGCAATAATTTTCATCGTAGGATATTCACTAAATTCTTCATAAAAATACTGAATGATAATAGATAACCCTCTACTTTCCAGATAGGATGAAAAACGAAAGCATAAGGATAGTGAATGTAGAACGAAATGTATTATTCAATATTGATCGGTAGCGAGATTCGATGCGTTACTGAAGTACATCCTTCCATCCCGCATTGGGTGGACCCTTTGTTTGCTATTTGGCGTGCACTCGATCGCGCTCGTCCGAATCAATTTCTTCTCGGCTCGGCTTACACAGCCGCACGATCGTCCGCGGACTAATCTATTTGCGTCGGAAGGAAAATGCAAAGTATGCCGCTTTGTTGGTTGGATTCGAGGCCCCTTCCTTCTTTCCGTTGCGAAATCCAGGCGAACGTAATTTAAAACAACGCTGGCTTCTGTATCTTAGGTATTGATGCCCGCCCATTTTAACTGGATTCGAGCGGGTCACGGTCACGTACCGGAACACGCGGTGGAGGCCGGAAGGACTGCGAACGGGGAAATGCTCTACGTCGGTCGTACTTATCACAATGGTGCACCCTGCATAGGAAAGGTACGCTAGGAATCGGAACAATTGGGCGCGTTCAAACCGGACAAAGCTACTCTCCTGCTTGCCGAGTGATTGAATGTGATTAGTTGGATCCATAAGTAACAACCAATCATGTTCATTTGCTTGGCGAGCAGGCTAGCCGTTTTGCCGACTTGAACGCGCCCATTGTTGAGTCAACTGCTCGTTAATTTTAGTGAGACTGGCTGCGGTCGATTTAGATGCTCACACGCTTTAAGCGCTTGTAATTATCATTCTGTCTTTATCGGTCATTAGACGAAAATAAGAATAGAAATACTGAAAAGCGCTGAAAGCATTGGATTTGGACGTTTAGACGTTTGAACGTTGTCAACTTTATTCTATCTTTCGCATTCATTGCATACGGAAAGAAGATAATGAAACTTACAGCGCGTGAGCGTCTAAGCCAAACACAGTCTGTGGCTGTTTTCCACAAGGAATATACAGATGACTGTGTTCAATACAAAGTATTCTAACTATGACATAGTGTTACTCTGCTCGAATGTAAAGGTATAAGTACAATAGTGTTATCAACTTTTTAAAAAATTATTTAGTAGTCATGCTTATTTTATAATAAAACTGCAATCCTGAAAGAATTTTATAATTTAAGTCTATACATTAAAATAATAAATCTATAATAGATACTGTCTAATACCTGTAAAAATAAGAATGGAAGATTATAATGCACTCTGGTGTCATGTTATGAAACTATAAACAATTATGCCAACAATTATTTTACACGGTGTAACACAATGTGACGTAGCGTGTCCGAGCTGGAAAACAATATGTAACTGTACGAAAACGATCAGAAATCTTTACATATACCTAAATCTATTGTTTGACAGGTTCAAAGAAGTCACGGTGTTCTGTACATTCCGTTCGATGGGAAGGAAATACCATACAGGGAGTATGAAGTCTTAGTGCAGTATTAAATCCTATCTATAATTATTTGCTTATAGAAACACTTTCACTTGGAATCGTCGTGATTGACAAATAACGGATGGTTTATAATTGTAGGAGAAATGATTTTTATATAAGTATATTTTATGATTAAATACATTTTACGTTGTGTTAACAAATATGTATGATTGAAATATTTTGCTTAATGCTGGTATTTTGTTCTTTATTTAATTACTTAATGTAAATTATAAAAAACTTTTATAAAAAACGAAACAGTAATAAATAGTATACCGTAAATGGCGAATAGCCTTTCGAAACGTTCGCCGTGTTTACTTATGAGGCTTTCTCGAAGTTAGATTAAAATTTTACAAAGTTGGCGGCGGAGAGTCGTGAGTTCTTATCTACCCTCGTTTAGGTTCTATTAGCATGCAGAGAAAGTAATTTATCGACGCTTAAAGTTAATACGGAAAGAAAGAGCATAACAGACTAAGCCAGGCTAATTTATACCGGCAATGGCGTCGCCATTTGCACCCCCTTTTGTAATTTGTGATTACGGAGCGTTATGACCCAAGCGATTCGTCATGTCATTTGAGTCTTTGGATTTTATTTTCTACGCTTACGATGCGAGATGCTGTCACGAGCATCAAATGATTCAGCGGTACGTAAAGCATGAGTCAGAAAATGCTGTAGTTCTCTGAAACAAGCTATTTCCCATTACGTACAAACCTTCTGTACAAACATTCTGTAATCTTGAATAGAAAAACGAAGACATCCAATAATAACGTCCAACAAACTCTGACTTCTTTTATCCACAAGATAAGACGAAGATTATGAAAGTTTGAAAAAAATAAGAGTAAATTTTAAAAGAATAATCATATAATTACAATAATGTAAATAACTTATATTGTTTATTATGATGTCATACGTTGATAAATCGAGATTGAATAAAGTACAAAGTTACTTATAAAAAAAGTAGTTCTAATCAAATCATCAATATCAAAAGTTTCATTAATCTGAACAAATTTCTAGTGAAGATTATTTGCAGCAATTTTTGCTTTAATGTAACAATTTAACACGCGTAATATTCGTGCATTTAATTTTAATAAAAGCACATTTATTAACGTTAAAACCGAGGTACTTTCTCTTGGATTTTACAATTGCCGCGAAGCTACTCGAGTCAATTACCATACGCATTTATTTAATCGCGGGGGTAAGTTACACACGAGGGGAGTGGCTGCCTGTTTTCTTCATCGGTGGCAATTCAATTTTCACGCTCCTCAGCTAAGATCCGCACTCAAGATAAATCCCAGATGCAAATAATTAAATAAATATTGCCGACTGCGCGAGGGAAACGGAATTGGAAGCGTAAGTCGCCATGACGCAACCAGTGGTCGTTTTCTGCCGCTCACCCGATAGATACTAAGCACGTGGCCGTTGCGGCATTATATTCCCATGGTTGGCACGTGGCCGTTCGCTTCTTCATTTCCACGTCCTCCTCTTTCTCCCCTTTGTTCCTCGTCCCCCTCATTATTCCGGGCGGAATTGTTACTGGGGATTGCGCTACTTAATATTTTGATGGAGGAAAAGTGCGCGTTTGCAAGGGCGAGAGACAAGAGGAGGAGAAAGAGGCTTGCCCACGTGCAACCGATCGTCCCCTTTTGATTAATTTTGGTTCGGATCGACTGACATGAACGAGTACGCGATGCTCGACAAAAGAGCCCGGAGGCGAGCACGAGCGAGAAGGGGCTAAATAAAAAAAAAATGGCAACAGCTGGCAGAGGGACCAGAATCGGGCGGACAATGCTGCTTAGGTTGAGGGCGAACCACCCTTCTCATCGCCGAGTCGCCGACGCGAGTCGATTGACACGCGCGCAATCATCCTCGCGTAGTATGCGCGTTACGCCATAATTGACAATCTGGATGAGCGAAAGGGGAGCGACGTTCATTAAGCTGAGGAGGACGAGTCCAACTCGACTGAACAGGATTTTCAAATGATGAGAACAATAATACGAGATTATTAATTCGAGATTGTTAATTCTTAGTTCTGAAGCTGGGAGAATTTGATAATGAGATTTTTTTAAACGAGAATCAAACGACGTTTTGCACGATTGTCGCATTTCAAATATCATAAGTTTGATATAAAACATATCAAAGAACATATATCTTGTTGACGTCAAAGACACAATGTAACACAGTGAATCATTACATTCTTGCTATTTATCAACATTAAACAAGGATGAAATAATTCGTTGTGTTACACTGTGTCTTGCTGGAAAACATCTTATATCCGGATTTACAAATATTGATAAATCATCGAAACCATTTCCCGAGATAAAAAGATTCCTTCATCCAAGTTTGCCTTTTGCGTTATCGCATCAGTTTCCACGATATCGATATGTGAATGTAAGTAAATAGTGACTTACATCACGAAATAAAAGATTTTATGTCGATCGTTTTCACGTCTGTCTACAATTTTCATCGTTTCCTCTATCGTACCTCCTTCGCACTCGATTGTGTCTGTTCTTTCTTTCTTTCTTTCTTTCTTTCTTTTTTTATTTATGTCTGCGGTTCAGAAATCGCTGGCGCTCGCGTATCGATATAATCGACTCGATAAATCCGCGCTTATTGCCGTTTACGTCAATTGTATCATCGAAGTGTAACAACGGAAAATCGTTACAAAAGTATCCATTCATAATATTGTTGTTATTCGACATGTGCGTTGAAGGGAATATGCAAAGATTTATTAAAAAATGTTAAATTAAATAGATTTTCATGTAACTTTCATCAAATATTTTACTTATCATAGAATCATACTGATGCAAGAATTTTATATAACAAATCAATAAAATAAGTGAAATCTGATAGATCATTCTATTTCTCGAAATTTGGAAAAAGCTAAAAAAACTCACAGACTATTTGAATGACTGAGAGAATGCATTGCGAAATTAACAAAATTAGAAGGTTCGATAAAGAAACAGCACATAAATTAATGTTTATATTTAAACAAACCATATACATAGAAAAGTTATGTTTATAATACCCTATTTTCATTGAATAATTCATTTTTATTGTTTACTTATTTTTTATTTTCATTGTTAAAAACTAAAATTTTAAAAATAATAATAAAAAAACCTAAATGTTTCTATGGTACTTTAAGTATTCAAAATGATTTATGCAAAGTGTCATTGCGATTCACTGATTAATTACAAAGATTTAGAATAAATAAATATTTTATATATTTACTGGACAACTGACTTTTGTATCGCAATGTAATTTCACATAAATCATTTTGAATATTTAAAGTACTTACATAAAAAAAAAATTGAAATTTTTGTCATTATTTTATAATACATTTCCATCATTTCTATTAGAGAAAGCACAGATTAAAAAAATATTTCTTACTAAAATAACTTTTGATATTATTGGTAAACTGCCACTAAAAATTTATTGTGTTACTTTTAAATTTAGAATTATTTGTAATTTCTTCGTAATTTTTTTATTATTTATCTATCTATCGTAATATCTATCGTATCTCCTAAAGTTACTGAAAAGAATGGAATATTATCCAAAAGACGGAGCAGCCTTTATCCCAAGTCGCCATATTGGCCCTTCTGATCATTTCTACATAAAATCTTTTCACCAATATTCTATGACCCAGTATAACGTTTGATAGAAGTTTCATGAAAATCTATTCAATTTAACATTTTAGACCGATCTTTTCATACTCCAATTCACCGATATTCTTCCTTACAATTTATGTCTTCAATATATTTTCAAAACGTATATGTTTCGTCGATCTTTTTAGTAAAAAAAGAATCAGTTTTTTAGTAGGTGTTTTTTACAGTAGTTACAAAATAAAAATCGGAATTTATTTCTATAAATCAATCCCTTGAAAAAAATGGGATTAATGTTCTGATGGAAGAAACATCAGCGCGTTCAATTCAATTCGTTTATATCAAGCCTACATCGAATGTACTGTCGCGAGTGCAACACTCATTTTATTTGGATAAACACGTTTTTTGGAAGCTATATCGGGTCACTCGTAGAGATGAATCCATCCACACATATGGCGCGGAAGATACGACAAGCAAAACCAGAATCGAGATCCGGGTTCGAGAGCAGAGAGGGAGAGAGAGAGAGAGAACAGCTGCTCCCCCCGCTGCGTCGAGAGCACAGCGGCAGCTGCTGTTTAGTATTGAGAATCCGCCGATTCCATGATGGGGTGAGTCTATAACCGAAATGATATGTAAGTACGAAACTGCAATCGCGATTGGTTGCAACAATAAAATTCCGTTTTATCAAGTCGAATGATGAAGAAGTTAGCTAAAAGAATATAACACACATTGCCTTTCTTTCTCTTCTTTTTTTATTTTAATTTTAATATGCATCACGTTGTATTCGTTTTATTTTATTTTGTTTCTATTTTACTCTTATAGTTACAATATCTTTTCCTTTCCATTTAATCTTTACCGTTTATTTACCGTCTGCCATAACTCGTTTTCTCTTAAGTTTCAATTTATTTTGCATGTTCTTAGATGGCTTGCCACAGAATTTCAAATAAACGCTTTCTCTCTCTCTCTCTCTCTCTCTCTCTCTCTCTCTCTCTCTCTTATGTTTATTACTTCTGTGCCACAAACGATTATAAATTTTTTTGGAAAATATATTCTTATCATATCATAATTCTTATTTCACTATGCAATGTTTCCTACGTGAATAATCAAATTCGAGTTCTATACAGCTATTTTCCAAGTATATAAAATATTAGACGCGACACGTATAACTTCTCTTTTTTCAATCTTGCCGCATAGTAATCACGCAGTATTTAATGATTAAATAAACGTACATTTTAGAACAAAAAAATGTTGAACTCCAAATCAAATTCAGACGCATTTCGAATGGTCCGTTCCTAGTACCTAGTACTTCTTCAAACAAATGTGGAAGTCAATTTTCTGAAAATCCTGACGTACTGTTGGCTCGAGTGCTTCTCGTTGTTCTCTTGTTTTAATCTGATTATATGACACTGTGCCGATACTAATCAATTTAAACGACAGAGCGTTTCCCATTTACGGGGTCGGCGAGGCGAACGTGTGCTGAACGACAGCCCGTTTCGCGTGCT